GGTAGGAACGGTGAATTTGCAGGCAACTAAGAAGACAAAGGGAAAGAGATAAGTCCGGATAGTGTTTTTTTTTTTTTTTTTTTTTTTTTTTTTGGGGTTTCACTTTGGGCTACCAACGGTAAATCACAGTGGTCCATCCGTCCATATTATTTGGGCCTTTTTTTGTTTAAAAAATTAGGCCAAAATTTGCTTTAAAATTTACAATGAATTGTTACCCCCAATCCGAGTCCGGCACTGGCAGTATGGTCCAATTCCAAATAGCAAACTCCACCAAATCAAGTAATCGACTCTCAATTTCTCATTCCTAAATCCAAAAGCTTGCAAACCCTTTTCCTCCCTTCCAAATTCCGTTCAGTAGCGCTGCCACCCACCAGTCATTGCCCATTAGCCAAGTCCAAAAGCTTAAACTTTAAAGCCTGGTTCAGTCATCAGTGGTTAGTAGACAGCCCGATTGCCGATTGGGCGAACAAAATTCAGCTTCGCCCGATGACTGGTGAGTGCTTTATGTTCTATTTTATTGCTATTTTTTATTTTTTGGGTATTGTTTTTGTTATATTTTGTTGGCTATTTCTCATTGATTTGTTGAATAAATAATAACGAATGTTGTTATCTCATGCCTGTAAAATGTGTTAATTGTTATTACTTATTGGTCTTATCAATAATGAGTTATGATTTATGTTTAGTGAGTTATTATGGAGAATTGTGAATTTATGATAAATAATTTATCCTTTTTGAGACATAAGTTATGATTATTGATTTGAGAATTTATATTTAAGAAATTTGGATAAGTGAAAAAATTTAATCAAATTTTAATAAACGATCGGACTATTACGATCGTTGACGATCAACGGTCAACAATCAACCTCCCCCCTAACTGAATTTCGATACTGGATTCACCCTTGTAAATGAGGTGCAAATATTCTATCAATTTTTTGTATTTGTTGTTTATTTTGTTTATTTAAAAGTACAAGAGTAAAATAACCCTTTTACGCCCTCTCAACAGATTTTTTGATCGAAAACCATCATCAAATACATGATGTACAAACTAACAGAGGTTTGAGGATAAAAATACAATGAAAAAGTTATAAACATAGGTACGAAATAAACAAATATTAGAAGTATTTTTGCATTTAAAATGATACGTCTTTAACAAGAACTATATTGTGAATATAATTACGTGTAACGCACACATCTCTTGCATGATTTTCGTATATAATTATAATGCTAACCTTTAAATTTATGACTCAATTTATAAATTTAATGTTGGTATTTTGCCGTGGGGTGCATCTTCGACGCCCCAGATGATCATCGTGCTTGTTAAAGTAAATTATAATAAAATAAATCAAGCTATGAAAAAAATTATAAATATATTTACTTCATTTCATGTTTTCCTCTACTTAAAATTTGTAATTAATTGACTAGATAATTAGGCACAGATTGACTTTTAAGTGTATAATAAAGCGAAAAGATATTAGATAACGAATCGACATCAATTTCAAGCAGCCCACAAGTTATGCTTTACAATTTAGAAAAGAGACGTTTTCATTTTTCTTTTTTCTTTTTTTTTTTTTTAAGGAATGAAAACCATTTTTTTATCCCTTATATGAAAATAAACATGAAAAACATAAAATAAAAGGGGAGGATGTGACGACCCAAATTTTATAACAAAGTAATATGAATCGTTATCACAACCTTCCGTTTAATTATATCATTTGACACAAAGAAAGAAAATAAATCGCCATAAATTTTTCAAAACAAATTAGTGTCAAGCCAAAGAGTGCAAAATTTAATATATATTTAATTTATTCTTGTTATATAATTGATGGAATAAGATGGATTTTACAAATTTTAAACATACATCATGGCCTTTAAAAAATTATAAGGTACCATATATTACTCCTAATAAATAAACTAAATAAATTTAGAATAGTGGCCATGACATGAATTTATAATGGTGAACTGAACGGCAACCACTCTCTATTTATGAATTCAAGTCTTTGAATTGACAGAAAGGTAAGAAAATAAAATTTACACCAAATAATATAGATATGGTTGAAAATCATAAGGTACAACTTAAAATTTAAAGGAATATAAAAACAAATTATATTGTATCAAAATAGACAACTACAATTTACCGAACATGTCCGATGATTTAATTAAACATAAATGCATATTGCAAGCAAATTTAAAAAAAAAAAGAGTTATTAAAATTTTAGTCCCATAAATCGAGGCACAACCACACCATTGAATCGTCACACTCTAACACGTCTCGTACTAATATGTGAGGAAATGAAAAAGGGATGAGTATTAGGAACACTCAATAGGATACAAATATTAGTACAATCTCAAATAACATTTATTATTCATATATCAAAATAAATCGTACCGTCATATAATATCTTTAGAACCAATAAAGGCTCATATCATATCATTTTACCGAATGGCCCATGTACAAGAAAAAGACTTTGTATTTCAAGATCAATTCTTTGTACATGAAAAAGACTTTGTAGTAAAATGACAACTAAGAAAACAAAGTCTCGTAAGAAATGACGAGTAAGAAAAGAAAAGTCTTTAGAAAAACTATCAATTTAACCACGTTTTGAAAGTTTTCATAATAAATTCTTTGGAAGAAAAAGTCTTTCAAAAATTTTAATACGTTTGAAAATTGTAAAAAAAAAACTTGTAGCAATTTGTCTTTAAAAAATTTACACACGTTTTGAAAACCAATTTTTCCTAACACCGATAAAAAGTCTACTAGCAATTAATTTTTGAAAACAAAAAGTTTGAAAAAATTATACACCAATTTATTTTATCTTTGCTACTAAAGTTCAATTACTAAAAATGTCTAACTAGTTCTTCTGAAATTTCTTTTATTATTTTCTCTTATAATATTTACTCGTTGTTGTTTTTCTTTACAATCTTTAGAGATAGAGAGCTCAACAATTTACTTCTTAATCTATAAAGAGGAGTCACCTCTATTCCTATCGACAGCGGATAAAATATGGATTCCTACAACAACTAATCTTCCTATTTCTCTGTTTTCAAAACAAGTATTAATATATCCATTAAAATTTTCTAATAAACAAGTAAGTAAGTCAGTGTAATCTAAAAGCAAAAAATATTAGAACTTTAAAACGATATATTTTTAATGGCCTTTGAGTACTTTACCGTTCTTCAAATTAATTTCTTCAGACCTTTTTTTTTTTTTTAACTTTCTCTTAGCTTTTTTCGTAACCTTTCAAAAAAAGCTTAAGACTGTAACCAAAAAGATTTTCATCGTGTTTAAAAAGGTTTTAACAAACTCCGGCAATTGAGACACAAATTAGCCAACTTAACTTAGATAATTACTTTATCTTTTAGCAATGAAATTCAGAATGAAGAGGAAAAGAGCGTTAAAAATATATTTTTGAAATAGAAATAAAATATTGTTTGAAATAGAAATAAAATATTGTTTGTGAATAAATTAATTGCTTATTTGATATTTCCCCTTTTAGGCCTTGCCCAAAAAATAACTAATATAAACGAAAATTATAAACAAGAGAAGATATGAAAAAACTTATTTTAATTACGAAGTCTTTAAATTTACAACAATGGTGGAGAGATTTTTTAGTACAAGTGTGATAGTGTGCTCTGTGCTTTTTCCTCGGTGTGTTTTTTCTTTTATGAGAGGTATGGGTATTTATAGACGTTGGTACATCACGTCTATTCTGTTGGTGTTTTAAGTGTGCTATCAATAATTGAAGAATATTGTGCAAACTTTACATGAGTGCGATCTAAAATCAAAGAAAAATAAATAATATACAATTCTCCATATGAGTAATTAAAGAATGAATTATTTGAAAAGATAGAATGAATTATTTGAAAAGATAATTCTAACAACTTTATCTTCTTTGCTTGAAATATGAGAATCAACTTTACAGATGTTTGAAATTTGTTCAAAAAGCTTTATCTTTGCGCCTCTTCTTTTTGACTTCCTTGTCTTGATAATTATTTCTGTCTTTCTATCTCATCTTTTTCAATTATTAATCTTTTCTGTCCATCATTTCAATTATTAATCTTATTCGTCCATCATTTCTGCTATGGTTTCTTCTAATTCTGGATCCATTTCATTATCGTTGCCATCGACCTTTTCATTCCCAACCAATCTTTAATATGCCTCCAGATATTTGAAGTGAAGACACGTTGAAAAAATAAGTGTTTCCCATCTTCTAGGTTTGAATCACAAAAGACACACATTCTATCAATGTTAAGATACATAAACTTTTCCTTCGTAAAAAGTTTTGATTGTGCAGCCAACCACAGCATGAAAGAATATTTTGGAGTAATGTAGGGACTCCAAATCTCCCTCGTCCAGCTCTTTTTTCTCGCTCTTTGGCCTGAAAAACTGGTATGCATTGCCTGTTAAAAATCGGCCAGAAGCTATCCACTTGGACACCTATTGACATTAACTTTTTAGTAAGTTCTAGCCATGTAAGCTGATTTCTAATGTCCAATAACTTCTTGATCAATGGAGAGTGATCTTTCCTTGGCATACACTCCCAAATACTAACCCCACGGAGGTAAATTTGGTTGATCCGTTTGATGCAAAGCGAGTCTTTCTTTCTATGAATATCCCAAATGGATTTTGAGAGCAAAGCTGAATTCCAACATTTTATGTTTCTAAACCCAAGTCCACCCTCATGTTTTGGCAGGCAAACATTACTCTAAGCAACCAACGATTTATTGGTACCCCAAAGGAAGTTGCGGCACAAGCTAGTAATCTTTGAAGCAACTGCGGTTGGAATAGGAAATATGGAAAGCCAAAAACATTCCACACATTGAAGAACGACTCTAATGAGTTCCATTCTACCCGAACAAGACAAAGATGTCTTAGACCAACCACAAATGTAAGTTGTGATTTTGTTGAGAAGAGAGTCATACGAGCTAATTTTCAACCTCATTGCGGCAAGTGGAATCCCCAAGTACCAGAATGGCATGGTACCCTTAGACATATTGGTCAACTAAAATATCTTCTCAAGCTCTTGCCCATGAACCCCTGCTGTATACAAGCTGGACTTGCTAATATTCATCCTTAATCCCTATATGTCTCCAAACTTAGAAAAACAATCCATTAAGATACCAATCGAAATTGGATCTCCTCTAACAAAGAGCATCAAATCATCCGCAAATGCCAAATGTGTAATCTTTAAAGGGCCACTGATAATTGAACTTGCTATTCTCCATAACTCCCTTCAACATTCTTTAAAAATACTCAAAACAAATGACAAACAAAAAAGGAGAAAGAGGGTCACCTTGACGAAGACCCTTTTTCCCTTTAAAAAATCCATGAAGGCTTCCATTGAGAGTAATAAAATATGAAGGAGTAGAAATACATTCCATCACCCAACCAATAAAATTCATTGGAAATCCAAAGTCGTGTAACATATTCTTGAGAAATTCCCAATTGACCGAATCATACACTTTCTTAAGATCTATTTTGAAAAGGCATCTAGAAGCAACTCTCTTACGATTGTATTGTCTAAGGAGCTCTTGTGCGAGATGTATATTTTCCAACATACTCCTACCTTCTATAAATGCACCTTGAGCTTGATCCACAATTGATCCAAGAATCGGCCCCAATCAAGATGCAAGAATTCTAGCAACTTTGTAGAACACATTACAACATGAGATCGGCCTATAGTCACCAACGAATGTAGAGTGATTTGCCTTGTGTGTGTGTGTGTCTATATATATATAACTTTACTGTTGCATGCGTGGACAAAAAAATGGCAATTTTGATATTTCTCATATGCCACAGCTTCTCAACATTAGATGCTCTGGCTATATCTTCTCTCATATGCCAAATAGAGCCCCTGTTTGGCTCTCATTATCTTTTATTTTTTTTCTCTCTTTTATTTTTAACTATATAATTTTAACTATATAATTTTTTATAAAATAATATTACACGTAAATTAAAAAAAATTTATTCTTTTTTAATCACATATTCTTCAAAAAAATATTATTCCAAACATTAAAATTTGGAGAGAATGGGGCGGGCTGAATTTCTTTCCCTTTTGTCCCCTTCCTAGGAACCCCTTTCCCTTTTTCTTTTTTGTTCCATCCAATATGTCCCTGCAGATTCCTCACCTTTTGGTTAGCTTGTAGAGCTCTTTCTCTACACTTACTAGCCTACTAAATGTTACTTTCGCTAAGGTCTGCATAATAACTTAATGATTGTAACCGCCACGAGTTTGATTGGGAAGGGACTTTGTATCAAAGGCTAGGCGTTCTTAGTGTTTAGGAAATATTCAAATTCAGATTCACCGGCGTAGTCTTTGGCGTCAGATGGTGGTTCTACAGCAAAGTTTTGTTTTTCCTCCACTATTCTCCTGATATATGTGTGTGTGTACCTATATTTGTGTTATCCTCATGTTCACACAGATTTGGCTCTGTACTGTTTGGCAACTGGTTCTTCTATTTTTACTGTTGACTAAATATTTATGTTACCCTCTTTCATTTCTCTAGATTTCTCTCTTGTTTTTTGTTTCAAGAGCTAGTTCTAGCTTGATTCCTCCAATATATGACACGATGGATTATGACATGTTAATTAACTTAAATTACACAACCAGATTTCACCTCTTTTATTATTATTATGTTTATTGTAATGTTTTTTCCATTAGTTTATAATTCTAGCAATATTTTTAATTTTCTTTTGTATTATTCCTATCAGATATTTTGGTGACTAACAACCCTGAGGGGTATCTCAGTAGTTATATTTTGGATTTGCTCCCCAATGCTTACCAGTTCAAGTCCTCTCAGAACTATTAAGATGAGTACCTGACTTTAAACTTCAAGGTCCTGTGAAATTAGTCGAGATGCGCATAAACTAACTCGGACACCTATGGTTATAAAAAAAAAAAGATATTATGGTGAGTAACGATTTCATTGCCAGTTTAACTAAACTATAAAGTAACTTTAAGAGCTTGTTTGACTCCATTCTTTTTCAATTTTTTTATACGTTTTCAAACAATTGTGGGCCCCAAGCAAGACAAATTCACCCTTCCTCTGACAATAACTCATTCTCCAGCCAAATAGCTTTGAAGTGACATGTACAATTTTTTTATTTTCCATTAATGACCATCGCTTTCCATAGCTGGCTGTCACTTGTATTTCCAATTAGAATCTGAGGGTAAAATAGGCAGCTTACTCTCCATAGTATTTTTCAATTCGTATCTTATCTGACACTTGCCTGACTTTTTGTCCTGTGTTATCATTCGTTATTCTGGACGAATGATATTTGGTCAAAAAAAGCTAGTACCAAATGGGCACTAAGTAAATAATATAAATATTAAACTAATTGTACAAGTTCAAATATCTCAAAATATCCCATTTTTTTAACCTTAAAAGATTGGCACAGACAAATTTAGTTTTATCCCAAATTTCACATTTCTTCTATATTATCCTCAATATATTGGTTGAATTTTGATGATATAAATGTTTATTTAACTTTTTTTTTAAACACGTAGTTCAAGCCCGTTGACTTTTGACCTGTCTGCACTTTAACTTTTCCACATGAAGTCCGAATGAGTCTTAAAAATATTGCATTTAACTAAAAAAATTAAACTGAACCAAATTTAGCATACCCCTTACCGGTGAGAAATTTTTGTTTGATTGCTTGAATCCCTCCATAGAAATCATGTTTAGTGTTTTTTATGGACCGAGTTTCGTTGCAATATCTGCTTACCACTCTTTCTAGAGGTTGCTATCAATATGCTCCTTGCGTGTGGATATAGCGTGCTCTGGCTCTTTGCGCACTTGCTCCCTTCTTCCCTGCCACTAATTCTCCACTCTCTAGTTAGTGTTATTGCTAGTTTATTTTTGCTTATTTTACTCAATAAATTGGGTTGGGATGACTTTTTATCGATTTCTAATGTAGAGTCGGTTCAATTAATTTTCGTGCTAGGGAATCAATGGTTGACGTTTGGAGATTGAGAAGGCTATATAGATTGCTGTGGTTGTTAATGTTTTAGTTATTTTTATATGAACTTGTGATAATAAAAGTATTACGCTATCAACACAAAAATTATTAAGAATAATGGTTAATTTTATCATTTTCTTGTTATACTTATTTATCGCGAATTCTTTATGATATGATTTAGTTACTTTTCTAATATTTGATGGTGCATTACCCTTTTCCATATCTTTGACTTCTAGGTCCCATTTTGCCTCGAGTTCGAGCTGTTAACTTGAATAGTGAGGTCCAAAACCTTCTTTCTTAATTGGAAATTAGCTTCTTTATCTAAAAAGTTGGTGCAGATTTTCATATTAAAAAATGGAATTTTACTGATTCTAGCGTTTTAAACTTTAGTCCAATACCCAATTAAAATGGGGAACTACACCCGACCCCACCTTTAAAGATCCGTGTTTTAAAATCAGTTACGAAGTTTCACATTTCACAAATAAGATGTTTCATATTTAAATATTAAATATACAATTTTTATCCCAAACCTAATCAATTTCCCCCTCCTCTCTCTCTCTCTCTCTCTCTCTCTCTCAGTCTTTCTTCACCAGAGCCATACACACCCCCGTCTCTCTCATCTTCTTCATTGAGCCGTATTGGGAGTTGTAACGTCACCATTGAAGCTTCTCTTTATCCACTAATCGGAGCAGCAGCAGTTATGACCCACAATTGGGAGCGCCGCGCGGAATGGAGCTTCTCTTCATCGGAGCCACAACGGATTTGATCTAATTTTTGCAGACGATCGTTGAGAATGGTCGGTTTTTGCGCATATTTGATCTCATTTTTTAACACGATCGTCGGTAGTGGTTGATTTTGCATAGATCTGGTTGGTAGTGGTTGTTTTTTCCAAAACGGTACTGATGGTGAGGAGGTTGTTGTGAGATAGTGATGTTCGATCATGGTGAGGTGGTGGTCGCTGTGGTGTATAATCAGGATATGGTCATTTGTTACTGGCCAATTTGTGTGTGAATCCGCCCCCAGGGCATAGCCTAGTGGTGTAAATGATATGAGTGAGATTATCTCATGCCTCGCTGGCAGTTGCAGTGTGGGGGTTCGATTCCTGAAACATGGAATTTGACTCATTGTAGGCGCAGTGTACAGACAGTTCTTGTGCCCTGGCCTGTTGGGACACATCCCGCGATTTACTTCCCTCACAAAACTCTAGGGACGGAGCGTGGGAGCCCTCAAGGTTGGGGTTCAACTTTTTTAATTTGTGTGTGAATCCAGTTCCAAAGTGCCGTGTGATGTGTATATCTGTATAAAAATTTAGCAAGCAGCCCTATTTTATTTACAAAAGAACTCCACTTCTTCTCTCCCTTTCTTTCCTGCGGACAGCCAACTTGTGTCTCTGTTCAAACTAGAATTCTAGCATGATGCCCTTTTTCTTATACTTAAGAGTCCCACTTTGTATTTCATTACACTTTAAATTCCCACGAGCAGCCCACTAGGAACTTTGTGCCAATAAAGGTCCAATTCAGCTCCAACTGAAGCCAAATTAATCAATTATTTTTTTCTAAGTCCTCAACTTTCAAAGTNACTTTTGCTTACAACTATCATTATTCTTGAGTAATGCTATGTAACCTTATTGATATTGCAATCCCAGTTTAGGTGATATTAAATGATAGATTAAATAAAAGATGAAATTAAATGAATTATTTAATTTTACCTATCATTAATGTCACATTAGAATAATTAGACTGAAGCTGCAAATCATCGAGATTAAATAGCATTACTCTTAGGGTCTATTTGATTACAAAGATAGAATTTGGGCGGAAATAAAATGAATTCCAGGAAATTGAATTGTCTAGAAATTATTTTCCTGTGAATCCTCAATTTATTGTGTTTGATTGATATAATTTTTCACGTGAAAAATGTTAAAATAAAAATATTTTTTGGCGTTCGTTTGATTTTGTTTTATATGAAAATTGTCAATTAAACGAATAAAATTTACTGATATTGAGGACAGAATTTGTTTCTATTGTAAAAAAAAAAAAAAACAAAAAACAAAAAATCCAAGAAAATCATCCATCTTTTGAAGTTCGTTTGACTTTGTTTTACATGGAAATTATCAATTATAGAGAAATTTTTTTTACAATAATTCTTAGAATTTGTTTCCATTGCCAACTAAAAAAAAAAATTAAAAAATTAAAAATTGCTACAGTTATCGGGAAAATGAATTCTCACCATATTGGTGAGAATTCAATTAGATGGAAAATATCCATGTGGCAACCAAAACAAGAAAACCAATTCCATGGAAAATAAATAGTATCAAACACCATTAATTGAGTAAAAGATGGAAAACTTATTCCATTTTCCATGGAATTGGTTCCAATCAAACACTGCCTTATTCTTTCAAGCTGGTGGGGGAGAAATCCACGTGGAGCAATGTGATTTCATTTTTAGATAGAGAATCCTGAGCCACGAAACCCTTGGCCCTCGTTTTTCAGCCACAAACAAATTCTCTCACCCGCCGACGAAAAGGACCGTCCTTTCTTAATCTTCCAAATATACCCTGATTATTGCAACTGTAGAGCTTCACAAAAAGGGCTTTTCTGTCACTTCAAATATAGAGCATCCATCCATTGCAACACGCCTCGGTTCTATAAGTAGAAAGTTTTGAGCTTAGCTCTTTAGTTGCCATATTTATCTGATTAAAACTTAAATAATTCTAGAATCTTTTTTGTTCATCAATCTTCTTTTCACTCAGGTACGTCTCTTTTTTTCCTTCATAAAATCAATTTTCATGTGGCTTGAAGTTTAAATTTTAAGGGATGACAGCTGAAATGTTTTCCCCACTTGGATGTATTCTTGTAATCTGATTTGAATTTTTCGATATTCATGTGATTGTTATTTGAGCCTTTGAAGAAATTTGTGCCATAGAAAGCTCGTGGTCGCCTCTGTAATTTCTCTGCGTATGATTTTACTATCTGGTTAAGCTTAATTTAATGTTATAAAGTTGGTATGCAAGTATGTTTTCCCTGAAAGTAATTAAAAAAAAAAAGAAAAAGGGAAAGATGCACTTGTGACTACTAGTTTAGCGGTGAGATTGAAACAAAATAACACTCCCTTGTGTTGTAGTTATTATTATGGGTTAATTATATGAATACTTTACCTTATATTATTACTTAGTCACTGAACTTAAAAAAAAACTTAATGGTCACTGAATTTCGTTAAAATGTTACTAATTCATAATCGAATTTTAAAATGTATCTCAATGGTCACCGTACTTTGTACCGTGTTATCTATTCGTCACTCAAATGAAAAATTCGTTAAGTCCAATAAACGACGTCAACTTGAGTGCGGATGGGTAACACAGTGTAAAGTTCGGTGACCATTGAGATACATTTTAAACTTCGATTATGAAGTAGTAACACTTGACGAAGTTCAGTGAGCATTCAGTTACATTTTTAAGTTCGGTGACTAAGTAGTAACATATGGTAAAGTTCAGTGACAATTAAGATATATTTTTAAATTGAATTATTACGCCCTTGTTTGAGTTTCATTCTTTCCCAAAAAAAAAAATAATAAAAATTCTTAAATAGTGATTTGATATCATTCAACCACACATTTTTCAATAAAATAATATTACATGCAAATTCAAAAAATTTTCTTATTTTTTAATTACACATTTCCTAATAATATACTATTCAAAATTTCATTTTATCCCTCAAAATGGTAAGCTTCTCAAATCGACCTCTATGAAAGAAGAAATCAAAGAAAATTAAGGGAAAAAAGAGGAAACAGAAAATTAGAGACCTATAAATTAAATAAAAATAGAATTGTTGCTAATATTCATCCATCATGGTGAAAAAGTACATTTGATTTTTAGATCAACTGGTATCAGTTCACCGTATCTCAAACTTCGCATAAATAAATTGAAAAAGAAATAGTTAGAACACCAAAAGAAATTGACAAAGAAAAATTAAATAAAAGTACAAAAATGTTATTGCCAATGTAACTGAGGTCGATTTGATTTTTCAACTATGTTACTACTTAGTTACTGAACTTCGCCAAGTGTTACTATTTCATAACTGAATTTTAAAATGTATCTCAATGATCACCAAATTTTGCACCGTGTTACTCATCCGTCACTCGAGTTAACGCCGTTTGTTGGACTTAATGGATTCTTCCATTTGAGTGACAGATGGGTAACACAGTGTAAAGTTCGATGACCATTGAAATACATTTTAAAATTCAATTATGAAGTAATAACACTTGGCGAAGTTTAGTAACCATTGAGTTATATTTTTAAGTTCAGTGACTAAGTAGTAACATAGGGCAAAGTTCAGTGATCATTCATATGATTAACCCTTATTATTACAAGGGAAAAGTCTTTACCTTTTTCCATATTAGAAATTTTGAATTCGGTACACAAACTTTTGGAAATGGCACCTAATATGTCTGATCCATGATGAACTAATTGATACGTATTGATTTTATTCTGTTAAAAAAAATGTGGATTTACTCGTACTAGATGAATAGGAAAAAAGAGAATTGTTCACAAAACGTCTCATCACTCTCCTAAACCTGCAAAAACTCTGTCCCTCTGTCTTTTCTCCTTGCATGAGAATCCAACTCTCTCCTTCACCCTGCTACCCGTTGACCCCACAGTCGCAATCATCACCATCAAAAATCAAATTCTCCAACTTCATGGAGATGTCCAGTACCATCTTTGTCTGCGATGAGCTCCCAAAACCAGCATTTCCTTGTTCAACTCTCTTTTGAGCTCTAAACCATCTTTCTCATTTGGTTTAGAAAAATTGTATTACAAGTTTTTGAATTCAGTTGTTTCTGTGCATTAGGACTTTGGTTGAAAATAGCTGTATACGGCAAGTAATTTGCATTGATAGTTTCAGAAGATGCAATTCGCATGTAATTGCTTATCATGATGCCATACATAGCGTGTAAATGAATCTGTTGGGTTTCATTAGCTATGCAAATATTCAAGACTTTGCCTAAACCGATGTTTGACTGTGATTTCCCAATGTTCAAATTGGCTCCTTTTTTCTACTTCCATTCATGAAGGGTAAAACAGTCGAAACATTTAAAAAAAAGAAAAAAGAAAAAAGAAAAAGCCCACATTTAACTGAACGAAATTCTTAGGCCATTGACAAACTGACCTGACCATTTTACAATTATCGGTGTATTAAATGGACTTTTACTCATTACGAAAGTAATGCATTTATTACGGGACAGAGGCAATGCTAATATCGAAATATTGGATAGATCAATTTGACTTCTATGAATCATTATGATGGTAAGTTAAGAGGTTGTTTATTTTGTTATGGATTGAAAGGTAAGGGATTGGATACTGTTTTCCATTCTGAACAGAGAAACTCTAAAATTGCTGTTTTAGTAATTAATATGACAGAAAAAGAGGAGAATAGCATGGTAATAATAGAAGAATACTGGACAAATGTCTCTTGGGTAGCATAAGATTGTAAACTGATTCACATGATTGAGTGATATATTTCCTTATGGCCTTTGTGACAGCCTCTAGTAAAGTGGTGCATAATACAATTGTTTCAATTTACTAAACTGTTGTGAACCTTCTTTTATATGTAGGTGATTATCATTTTCGAAAATTCAATGGATTGGTACTTCGGGAGTGATATTAAAGATCTTTGCATACCAAAAGATAAGGAGATGTCTGACAGGCTTCCATCCCCATATATTTTGTCTCCTTGGGAGAATGAAACATTTGGAAGTTTTAACTCCCTTAAGAAACGCAATATTGCTGGAATGAAAGAAAATCTATTAAGTGGAACCACTTCTTCCAGCGAAGATGACCGGCTCTGTAGTTCAAGTGTTTGTATAGGTTTGCGGGATGATTCTTTTCAACGGAATGCTTATCCTCATGAACAATTGGATCTTCAACTCAGTGACTTTGCCAGATATTATGAGGCTGATGACAATTTCTTGTACAAGCGTACCTTCTGGGCTTAAGATATTTGATTTCATGCATGTGCATCTAATGCTTTATTTAAATTTCCACGTTTCATGCTCAAGTTAAGCTGTTATTTAGGAAAAGGAGACTCAGTGATTTGTTGGTAGACAGAAATTTTAAAGTTGGTTGGCTGATCGGCGATTGATTGAAGCTCTGGCTCTTCTATTGTTCTATCATATCACTGAAACTGTAAAAGTCATGTGATTAGAAACCACACTGTTATGCTTATTCTAAGGCAAGTACAGAAGTGAGACTTGAGTTAAACCTTTCGTATGGAAACATTGCAACGAAGTCTTGCCCTTAATAATTTACATTTCTTTTGGCTTCAATCACCACTAGAACAAAATTTAGTCACTTAATTTCACGGCATATCAATTTCAGTGATTATTAAATTATCTTTCTGTTGTTAAAACTGTTAATCATTTTTGTATTAATTTTTCTCCCAAAGTTCAACTCTTCTACTAATTTCATGCAGGGGTCAATTACTTGAAGAGAATGAGAGTGGAATTCATGCTGCTGCTGGTTCAATTGATTTTTCACGAACATCCAGCAACGACAATGTGATACCATCTAATCTTTTAAGAGATCTAGTTTCAGAGTCTAACACTGTTCAAGACCATGTAGAAGATATAGGACACTTAAAGGATCCCAAAAAGTACATTTCTGTTTCACGAGACTGCAACAATGGAGTGAACGATGATCCCTTGTCAGTGGCAAAGGTAATCATTCTTTCAAGAGTAAGAAACTCAAGTATAAGGAAATATCTTTTAGAGACACTGAGTAATATACAAGGAGTCTGGTATTGATTTTGGCAATTGGTAAGTAACTCTGGTTTCCGGATATTGGTTTTGGTAGACGTTAGTTTTGGTGGATATCAATATTATCATGTAGTTTTATACTTTTATCGTATTCATGACATTAGTTTGCAACATTGGCATGGCTGTTTAAGACTTGATTTGCTCAACAAATTTTTAATCTTGATAATTGTTGTTTAAGGCAATGGAGGTTGACATCCCCTTCTCATTGGAGCACAACAGTTCAGATAAACACATCGCAGAGGAAGTAACATCAATGGAGGAATCTGTATATCTGGAGCTTAGGAGCTTGACTGTGAAGGTAAGAAAGTGAGTTATCTAGAACGGGTAAACTGTGTCACTAAAATATGAGATGATCACGAGTTGTTTACTTAATCTTATCTTGCCCAGTTGACGGAGAGTACCAGAATTTGCATTCGAGATGCCCTGTACCGCCTCGCAAAGAACTCAAAACATGAAGATACCAACCATGTTCCGAATGAAAATGACACACCAGAAGGGTGTTCACCGACAATCTATCGTGAAGCATCTAGGTAAATGCTATATATTGGTAACCTTTCTCAATTTCATCTGTTTTACTCAACCTTTGTTTGGGCTCCATTTTAATGTCGTTTTGGGGAAAATGTATTTTGGAATAGTAATTTTTTGGAGAATGTGTGGTCAAAAAAGAAGGAAAATTTTTGGGTTTATGTGTTTATTTTGTGGGCTGTTCAAACAAGAATGAAGAACCTGAATGGGTAATTTCCATCAGATAATATTGACTTGTTGAAGAACAAATTTGCTCATAGCTTAAAGAACAATGTGGAATGTGATGAACAAATGATTAAAAAGAGAATAACTTTGTAGCTTTAATGGGAAGAGTAGAAGCAAGGTACTATATGTTGTTAAGCTATATAGTACTAAAGTCTGGTGGTGTACTGTGGGAAAACTCTAATATTCCACGCAATGTTTAAAAAGGCGAGGCACAAGTCATGATTCATTTTGAAGGCTTAAGCCTCTACAAAAAATAATAAAATAAAATTTAAAACATGCAATAAATATACAAAGTACTCATAATATACTATAAACCATCTTGAAAATCCACAAGTTCCATAAAATTGTCAGCATACTTGATTCCTCCATCATTCTTCTCATCCCTATCAGTAGCTCCTCATCCTCTGCTGGCAATGGTGTCTTTGCTTTCCCTTCCCTATAAACGTAAAAAAAGGAAATTAAAATATAAAGACAAGAAGAAAAATTTAATAGAAAGAAAACAGTGAATTACGCGTCGTAGTCTTTTGTCTCTCGCTGTCTCATGCTGAAAAGTTGCAACTTGGTAGAGGAGTTTATTGCAGCCATGCTTCCTTTTATCAATGCTTTGATGTAGCTTCACTATGCAGTGACCAAGTAAGATAATTCAATTTGAGAAACTCTCATGGGAGCTATCGTTAGAGTCGGTCTCATATGAAATGATACGTGTTTACAATACTCCTGTAGTTGGTTAATGTTGTGAGTTCCTCTTGTTCACTACACATTGACATTGTGAATGATCTGGCAGCATTTAGGAGCCTAGTTCAGTTGACCCATCCATTTAATGAATACAATACATTTATTTTAGATCAAGAATCCTCAAGATGGCAAGTTTGTAGATGATTGTTCACATATAAACTCTTAAAAAAAAATCCTTTCAGAAGGCTATGCAAGGGCGCTCATAATGTTTTGAATGGTTGAGATCGTTGCTAAGTAACATTACTTAACTGGAACTTAGAAATAAATTTAGCCCCCGTTTGGCCCCCATTACATTACATTCTATTTTTCTCTCTCCTATTTTCAACCATACAATCTTCCATAAAATAATATTACACGTAAATCAAAAAAATTTCTCTCTTTTTCAACCACTCATTTTTCAAAAAAATACTATTCTACTCATTTTCATTACCAAGTAATGGGAATCAAACAGGGGCTTAATTGATTTTACTACCACTCAAGCTTTGATTTATATGGGAGCTTGAGAATTCCCTGAGAGATTTGAAAAGAAATATAGTAGTTCAGGCTTAAATTCTAGTTGAGGGAATTTGGGACATGACTCTATACAATTCATCTTTCTACGTGAAGATACCACTTTTTTTTCCTGGAAAGAAGTGAAAATTACTCGTTAACACCTATCCATCTGGTACTTTTGTGAAGAACATATTTATACCCTTGGGGGGTTCGTGTGCGTTAACTACATCTTTGCCCCCCTCGAAGATCGAGTATTAATAATTCCTTCAGGGTTTCGTATAACAAAGTTTATTTAATCAAAGTATTTATCTTTGCATCCAGGTTGGGTGATACTGAAGAAGAAGAGTCAACAAATGCAATCGATAGAACAGTTGCTAATCTCCTGTTCAACCACATCAGTTTTTGCAGCCCTGAAGTGGAGTGCAGTTCTTACGATTACAATCCATGTTTCTATACTTCCTCTAGTGGCGCCGTTCTTGAAGGTGATGCAGAAGTGCCAACATTTGGTTTAATAAACCACCCTCCACCAATGCCCCGAGACTAGGCTCATTTCTGCTTACTGCCATGGATTTGCTTTCAAGTGAAAGCAAAATCGGGAAATGAAAGAAAGATCATTGTCCGTCTTGTTTGACAAAAATGGCTGCTTCAATTTGAAATGATCTGAATCAAGTACCTCGTTTTGTATCTTAAGTGTTTTCTCAAGATTCTGGATATTTCTTCATGCCGAATTTTGTGCATATTATATGCTCTACTCACCATCATGAATGGTTACATTTCCTGTCGTTACTAATGTAGGGGTGTTTATTTATTGGATTAAGTTGAACGACCACATTGTTTGACACAGTACTCACAGCGAAGGCGTGGGTCGCGCGCGAATAAAATAACGCTGACCTTCATGTTAGTGTGTTGTGTCAGCCAATGTGTCGAATTTTGTGGTAGTGTAGCATGGTCCTTATTTATTTGGTGAAGCTTTCAAATCCAGTACAGGCACCCACACACAATCTTACTTGCCACCACAATTCTAGCCAAAATTTGTTTGGAATTCGTACTTTTGGAGTTCCAAATATCCAGTATTCCATTTTGATTTTGGCAGTTAAATTGCAGTGATAAGGAAGAATGCGTTACGCAAAATGAATGTTGTTGTAACCCAAATCAAGAAATTAGAAATGCTCTATTTTATTAATTACATTGAAAATCATAATGCAAAAAAGTGAGTTTTATTTTTGAAATAAAACATAATGAATATTAATGAATTCCATTATGACAATAGTGTATACAAAATGATATATTTAAAATAAATAGAATATTATTAATGCTAGGTGTACCTTGTCCAAAGCAATCATCTCGAATTATCAAGCCCTCCATCTAGAAAACCTCGTGAACGTGAGGATGCTTGCTTTTAAATAAATAGCTTTTCAAAATATGTATCCATTTTCAATTAGAAATAAGTAAGAGTTTAAATATCACACATTTCAAAATCAAGAAAACAAGTTCTAAACTTTAAAAAAAATCAGATTTTTACTAAAATTTACTAAAACAAAACAAAAAGTGAATACTGAAAGGGAGAAAAAAAATATTCGTAAAGATCTTTCGATTCAAGCTTTTCTGAAAGATGGCAACATAAGATAACAAGTTATAGCGACCGAGTAACAGCAAATCAAAGAACTTTCTATACTTTGTAATGAACAATAACCATCGATAATGTATTAAATATTTTCGTGATGATTTTCTACAACATTTACATATGGTATTGTGGATGATACTATGCATTATTTGCGAGTATCTCAGTTAGGTTACAATCTTTTAACGCGTCGTTTGTTGTCACAAATTTTTCAAAAGGCTCGTATCAACTGCAGGACCATTGAGAGTCATCCATCAAACATTATTAGTTATATAATTCAAAATTTGATAGATGAGACGAATAAAATTTCAACTATTAAATAAAATTAAAGTAGCCATATACACGCGTCTTACAAATCTTGGCCGGCGGAGTTAGGGCCCAGAGAGGCAACACTGAGAATTTGCCCGTCCCTAGTTATTTCCGATGACTTCTTCACATATTGTGACAATGTCTTAAATCTTTGTCAATTCACATTTATTGGTCTAATAATTGTACAAAATCAATGCATATTTTTTCAAACTTAGCCCCTTAGCAACTAAGAGTCTATGCACAAAGTAGTCAACAAGTTTAAAGAAGAAAGAGATCAATGTTTATCTATTGCATAAATTGGCACAGGGACCTGAACGGACCAATATTTTATGGAGTTACCACAGGGACCTGATCGGACATATATTTTTCAAGCTCCAATAATTAGATCATGTCTAGTCGACCCTAAACCACCCAATCTAATCATTAGACTTTATTTTTACCACTAAAGACAAAAGACTGAACTCTCAGAATATATAAAATCACATAAGCCAATTAATCTATAATACTTTTCTCTGACCTATCGTATATGCATTTTATCCCCGTCCGAGATCCGATAATTAGGTACGAGCATAAATGATCGTTTTGTCCCTCTAATTATTCTCACTAATTTAAGTTTCATTTTCTTCAACGGTGTTGTGAACAAATCACAGATGTCAAAATTTAGCCATCGCTAAACATTAAGCTCGAATTTTAACCGTTCAATAGAAAATACTTAAATAGTCACTCTACCCATTTTTTAGGGTGACGGTTCCCGATATGAATTCATGGTCTCTACTCCGTTCATTCTCAAGTTCTCAACTCATCGAGATATTTAACCAATTAAATTGATCTTACTCATTGATGAATCAAAAAACAATTAAAATCGCGAAATGATATACATAATCCTGTCAAAGGATTCAGATGAAATACACAACGGTCAAGTAGAATTTAATTCTCCTCATGGTCACGCTATAGAATTAAATTCGACACGTGGTCCGTTCAGTACACTCCAAGTGTACTAATGCCACCTTTAACTTTTTTTGTGATAAGAACAAATCACAAACTAGAATAGTGAATTGGTCAACACTATAACCTTCCAATATAAAATGTCAACTCTTATACATTGGTTGTGAACAAATTATTTATGATCAAAATATAAGTTGTGTCTCACTGTATTTCTCAACGCAAGTACTCAACTCATATTATCACAAGTGATCACAGGCACTTTAATTTCGCATGCTCAATAAATAAATGCAATAAATAAAGTAACATAATTTTATTCAATATTAAAAAATTATTATTATTGTTATTTTTACATCAGCAAAACTATATCATATAGCACACAACCCAACAACATATTCTAAGTCTCAAGTGTCAAGTCTTGAAGAAGAGAGCTGGACAAAATAATTTTTATTTCAAGCCACCATATTAGACTTCATCTCTTTTGTGTGGATCTCGTAACGGCTATATTTTTTATTCTCGTTCTTATAAGAATGAGAATCAAATGGGGGCATAAATTATTTGCTTGTTTGACCGAATCGTCAATTTGATATGCTTGAAATTGGTGTGTTGAGTCTTCTCCAAGAGCAAGCACTTTCACAGATCATTACCCACTCACCAAACTTCATCCTACTTCTCTCACCCCACACAACTCACATTACCCATCCTCTAACCCAATTATAAATACATGAAAATGAGTGGTACTCATGGATTCCATGAAATATATCGATAAAAATTTGTCTGAATAATTACAAAATCATCTTAAAAATGGTATCTTATTATCATTGTAATCCCTTAATTATAACGTCATATTAATGCCATGTATCATCTTCCATGTCACTGGTAAGTTACGAACACCTTCGCCATAATGATAATTAAAAACACCAAAATATTCAACTTGATATGGGTCTTTTTAATGTAATTTAGCCAACCTGCATGGCTTGCCATGCAATGTAGGTTTGTGAAATAAAAGTGGAGCTAGAAAAACTACAACTTTCTTCTTCTTATTTTATTTTATTTTATTTTTTTTGGGGGGGGGGGGGGGGTTTGTTGAGGTGGTCCTTAATTAGATTACATATTCACGCACGTTTTAATTATGCAAGAATTTAGAAATTTACAGGTATTGCCTTGCGAACAGCGTATTATAAATAGAATTTTCTTGTTGCCTGACTTAGCACTCAGATTGCAAATTTTTTCTTCATAACTTGAGTACTGATAAAAAATGGCAATTGTATATAATATTGCAGAAGCATCACATGCGGAAGAGGAAATAGCCCCAGAATTCAAAGAAATTCTTAGCTCACTCCCAACAGAAAAAGGCTGGAGAACACCAAATCTGTACCTATTCCAGGGATTTTGGTGCCAGCCAAAAGAGATTCAGGCCATAATTTCTGTTCAGAATCACTATAAAGCAAAAGACAGCGATGTAATTGTTGCCACAATTCCGAAATCAGGCACAACCTGGTTGAAAGCACTGTGTTTTGCCATAGTGAACAGAGAGAAATTCGATTACCAAAAGAATCACCCTTTGCTCACTTCAAACCCACATGAACTCGTGCTGTTTCTTGAGTATAAATTGTATGCAAACAATCAAATTCCTGATCTTTCTACGCTTCCGACGCCTCGACTCTTCGCCACTCACATGCCTCTAGGGGCACTGCCTGAATCTGTTAGGGAATCAGATAGTAAGGTTGTGTACTTGTGCAGGAACCCATTTGACACATTTGTTTCAATCTGGCATTATCTTTGTAAAATAAGGCCTGAATCTCTGGGTCCCTTGTCTCTTGAAGAAGCCTTTGATATGTATTGCAGGGGTGTTATAGGATATGGTCCATATTGGGACCATATGTTGGGCTATTGGCGTGAGAGTATAGAAAAACCCCACAAAGTTTTATTTCTAAAATATGAGGAAATGAAGGAAGACACTACCCTTTATATGAAGAAATTGGCTGAGTTCTTGGGATTTCCCTTCTCTTTGGAAGAGGAAAAATATGGAGTAATTGAAGAAATATCAAAATTATGCAGCTTTGAGCATTTGAAAGAGTTGGAAGTGAACAAGAAAGGAAAAGGTGCCATTGCTCACTTTGAAAACAAGAACTTGTTTAGGAAAGGTGAGGTGGGAGATTGGGTAAACTATTTCAGCCCCTCGATGGTGGAAAGGCTGACCAATATCATGGAAGAGAAATTAGCTGGTTCAGGTTTGTCCTTCAAATTGTTCTGAGGGTGGATCAGCTCAATAATAATTTGACAAAATAAATTTATAGAAAGTTAAAATATTGTAATTGTCTTAAATACGTCTTTATGTGCCCCACTTTGTATAAATTGTTAAATAAATGAGCATTGATACTTTACAAGATCAAATTTTTACCATCATCCATCGAAATTTTAATTGGTTTCATCGCTTTGTTCTCTAACTTTAAGTCAAGTCAAAGTTTTATGTGCTTTTAACTTTTACATTAACAATTTCAATAACATAGGGACATGAACTCTTACATTTAGACCCGAAACCCATGTTTAAAGGTTGAAGATTCATGACCACATCACATGAAAAGTTGAAGAACACCGTCCTAATATTTCCTACTACAATTGTATTATTCTACTATTTGGAACCAGATTTTCAGCGTTGAGTTCAATAATCAAATGGTTGAGGGATTCAAATATCACTTTTAAAGGTTGAACATCCATAACTGCATCACATGAAAAGTTGGAGAACCTAACCTTAATTTTCATACTACAATTATGTTATCTATTATTTGGAACCCGGTTTTCAGCGTTGAGCCCAATAATCAGAAAGTCTTTGATTTGTACCAACGATGATAATAATATTCATCCCCTCCGATACTAGTAGCTATATAGTAAGAAATATCTAGATGCAATTAAAAATTTTTGAAGACGTAGAATATATAGAAAAATAATGCATAGTCTAGGCAACATAAAAGTTTTGTAGTCGCACATAATTAGTGATGAAAAAGTCATTTATAAATTATAAAAATGTAGCCCTTTCTAATAACTTCCAAAAAATAAAAAAAATAATAAAAAAATATGAGGTCTAGAAGAGCACAGTCAAGTTTTGGTTCGTCCGACAAAAAATAATATTATGCTATAAAAATTAATATAACATAATATTAATTTTGAAAAAAAGGGTTACATCTTAAGAGACAAACGTCCATTTAATCTTGTTAGCACTAGTGTAGATTAGAGCTGTAAGCAAAAATTGCAAAATCGAAAAATCGAACCGAAATCGCATTTTAGAAACCGTCAGTTTGGTGCCACGTGGACCCGATCAACGAAATGGTTTTGACCCAAACCCAAACCAAACCGGTCAAAATGGTTTGGTTTAGGTTTGAGAAATTTAATTACGGTTTAAAACCAAACCGCATCCGCGAAAAAATATATAAAAATAAAAAAAATGAAAAAATGATTTTTTTTGAAAATTGATCCAAATATGTAAAATTCAATAGTTTTGTCATTTGTGGGTATTTTTGTCAATTCCTAATTTTCTAATACAGACATATTATTATTATTATTATTATCCAATAATCATAATATATATTTAATAATTTCAAAATCAACATAATCTATCAAAAGCCTTTTTCTTCTTCAAAATTTAAATGAACTCCAGTCGACACCCAATATAATTTTGAGCCACCGGCACCACACACTTTTTTTTCAGATTTTTCACGCCTCTTCAAAGTTGAATTGAAGTCCATTATACCAAATCGGAGACAAAGAGATCCTAGACTTTCGGTGATAATATTTGCTAAAAATAAAGTTTCAGATCAATAATTTTTTGGAGCAAACTAAGGTAAGAATCTGAAATTAAATGTGTTTCGTAATATCATATAAGCGTAAACTTGTGTAATTGTTATGTTTAGATATTACAAACAATTATTTTATTATTGTGGTTAGTTATTCTCCTTGTTTAATCAGTATTCGTTTTTCAGATATGATGATCACGAAATCTTGTTGGATATCATTATGTTTTTTGAACCTTATATCTAGTTTAATAGATTTGTATTGTAACGTTATTGTATCGTCATTAGCCTAAAAAAAGTGAAAAAAAATGAAAAAAAATTTATGTTTTAGTTTATTGTGATTTCACTTTGATTTAGTTGATATTTAAATTTATAGTAAATATATTTAGCTCCTGTTTGAGCCATATTTTCCAATCATCATAATGAGAAAATTGACTATTGGAGAGGAGGTTGGGTCCCACACATGAAATAGCAGATCAACAAAGGCGGCTGGATTTGTGGAATAACGGTCTAAACTTTCATTTTTTTTGTTCCAAAAATTTGGTTCAAACAGGGGCTTAGTTTGTTTTAGATTTATTACTAGTGAGATATAAATATATATTAAATTCAATGAATTAATGACATAAAAGTAGACGAGTAAAAAAAAATATGGTGAAACCGACGGTTTAAAATCGGACCAAACCGTTAGGTTTAGGTTTGAATTTTTTTCAAACCGTTCAAAATTGTTTGTTTGGGTTTGGATTTTTCTCGAACCGTTTTAAACGGTTTGGTTTGAAAATATATCAAAAATCGGTAAAATCGGACCGCTTACACCCTTAGTGTAGATAGTGAAATTTATCTTAAAGAGATTTACATTTAAATACCTCATTTCATTTAATTTCCTTCTAATTTCTACATATGCCTTAAAACGTCGATAAGTCATTGTGTTGGTTAATTTTTATGCAAGTAACTTGTTTTTGGTAAGTCAAAATACTATCTTACAGTTGGCATGTCGATTGCAAATAAATCATGCTGGTGCTTTTGATTAAAGGAATATAATTCATGCACTATTCTTCCGACTATATCAAAACAGATTCATGTTTTATGTATTTTAAAGTTGTGTATTCGATCGAATTGAAAGGAAGTAAAGACAAGTGACGATGGTCAGGTACATAATGAAATGGGCATTGGTATTTGGGAATGGATTCGATAGAAGAAATTATCATACCTTTTCAAACCCATTAAAGTTTCTGATTTTCGCAATTATATTATTTTGCTGTGCTTGGGTACTCTTAGTTATATGACTTTTTTTTTAAATAAAAATAACAGATAATTGCATCAAACTTCATGCCATCTCTTGTGGGGGCCCTACAAAAGAGAATCTGGCCAGGGTCCGTGCAAATGACCCTGGCCAAATAGCATTTCTCTTTCAAGAATCTGTACTACATGCAATAACTTGATGCTTGGCCTCTCCCCAATGGGATAAAAGTTTTGGAGATTGATATGAAAGAACTTGTAGCTTCCATACGATTATTACTTTCCAAGATTGATAACAATTATAATAGCAACTCCCATAGAATTGTAACTCTTGGGGACCTACAAATATTTTAGTCCATCCATGTCATCTTGCACTTCCATCTCACTTTTCATTGAGCATCGATCTTCCTCTCTAGTTGTGGTTTTCGTTGAAGCTCGTCTTCCACTCCTTTGGAAATTCACTTCGATTCTGACCATGAACTGGGGGAACTTCCAGATCAATCCTTGGAGTTGGTCAAGATTTTCTTAATTTTATCCATGACCCTGGAAACAAAATAACTATGATGATTGGATCTTTTTTTTATGATCAATGAGTGTTCGTTAAAATCCCACAAGCGTACGAGTTCGTTGTACAAGTAATAATTGTGATGAAAGAGTTATCGTCCCACAGGGAATAAAGTCTAATTTCAGTGTATTCGATATAATTAAATTCGTGAGATTAACTAAAAGCTGACGTTTGTTTGAATAGTTAATTAAGTTCTATAACTAAAAATCTGCAAAATTTATGAGAATTTGTTTTAGAATTCAGATGAGTGAATGTATTGGATTTCCGACGCCACCGATCAACTCTTAGTTCTAATTCTCAACCTATGACAATTATCTCAACTCATGCAATTGTGATGATCGATAATTTCACATTTATTTATTATTTTTTTCCAAGATATAATAAACCTATGATTACCACGAAACGATCATATTCCTAGTCCGAACTCATACGGCAAACATGCATTGATGTATAGGATTATCACATATGATCGCACACGTCTCAAATATTATTCCTAACATTCATTGTCCATGCGTTCCAATATCAGTGTTCTACCTATCATGAGTTTTCCAACACTATGAATAAGCAATTTTTGTCCTAATGGTGCGCAAACATTAGAACAATATAGATATGCATATTAAAGAAACCACAACACAAGAATTAAGATAAAAACATAAAGTCTTGAATTAAAAACTAGGAGTCAATCAGTTTTTTCATCCATCCAATACAAAGATATCTAGCCTAGCATATTAATGTAGGAAAAATAGTAAAAATAAAAGAACGACATCACCCGAATCATTAAAGTATGAAAAAAATATGAAATCCTCCACTTTATGCCTTTAATTCCGGAAGTGATGAAATCTTGTTCTTCAATGTATATCCCGTTCTCTTTTCCTCTTTGTCGGCTTCCAATATGATAAAAATTAGGTTCTCCCGTGTTTTTGTCGACTTTTGGTATAAATATGGTATAAAGAATTGTAAACCAAGACTTTCCAAAACAAAATAAAGAAATAGAATTTTTTTGTCGGAATTGAATCATGCATACGCATGGTACACTTTTGTGTGTAGGCATAGTAGCATCAATTTAGCTTCGGAAGTTAAATTTTTCAATTTTGCGTACGCACGACCTGCAAGCCTATGCGTATGCATAGTCTATTTTAGGGGCCAATTTGCAATTTGGTTCCTAAACTTTCTGAAGTGTGTGTTTTGATTCTTTCCCAAAAATTATTGTCCCATTAGCTTCTCTTCAACTCCAATTGACTCTTGGTGTTCTCAACTCATCGTTCTTTGGTCCCATTCAACTTTTGGATCATTGCATTCTAGTCCCCAAACCTTGCCTTAATGTAATTAAGTCGTTTTTCCTGCTTATTTTCTTCATTCTCGTATTTTTCATTGATTGTAACCTACACACAATATATAAATATGATTAAGTCATATTCCATCAAATTATTTAACAAATACTCAATTTTAATGGCCTAAATAAGTGTATAAAATACACTTATCAAACACCCCCAAATTTGAACATTTGTTTGCCCTCAAACAATTTATAGCCCGATCCAATTAAACTTTGGTTAGATGGTATGCTGTTAGTCTTAGGATTGGATAATTGTGTCATTACTTTGAAAAGTGTCCAAATTACACATTTGAAATTAATTTCCCCTTATTCAATGTGAACCTTAAAGTGTGTGTGTGTGTGTGTGTGAATATTAATGTAAACATCACAACACTAATAACTAGTTTGATTCCCAAACTGCAGTAGTCAATTATTTCCTTTCCTCAATCGTAAGATACACACTTCCAAACTTATGATTTTTGCT